GTGTGAGCGAACGATTCATTTTCTCACAATGTATCGATTCTTCGAAACTTTTTCATTAGAAATTCAACCCGCATAGATTCACAATCGGCCTATTGCCCTAACTTCTGGCTAAAACTTAAAAAAACTTCCACAACCTTATCGAAAGTTGCAGTTCCGCAGAGGAAAGCACGAGCATATATATCTCCAAATACAAACTTAATAATTTCAACGAGTGCAGGCACACGTGTAAGTTAACAAAGTCATCTTCGTTTTACAGATAAAAGCATGGCCAGCGCCATATTGAAATGTCTTAAGAGATATTCGAAATTTATCGGAAGACAAACTTATAAATAGTTGCAGTATGCATTAAATCACTATGGTGTACGCCCCATAACATTCTTGCACTTGTTCTTTTCTCTTCGCTTAAGATCCGTTACAAATTGCAATTGCATTATATATATATATGTATAATGAACATCTCGCATGCAAGTTATTGCTTCAATGTTAATGATTCTTACTTATATAACAAGATGTGCTTAACTACTATTCGATGTAATTTGTTCATAAATTACAGTACACACACACACACACACACACACAAACACAAACACACACACAAACACATATATATATATATATATATATATATATAAATGTAAATAAAATGTCTTCACTCCCCTGTGGGTTTTTTTTATTTGTTGCTGAATAAATCTTTGAAATCAAGTTACATATATAATTGTATGAATGCATTTTAATATATATGCAAAGAAGTAATGTAAAGACATTGCTAGGCTTCTTTATATATGTATATATGTGCATTACTTATGTTATATGCACTTGTTCGTAACATTAACTTAAGAGAAGAAGAAAAATTCCTATTGGTTGGAAGATCTATACAATTAATTAACAACAATTTGTTAACATTTGCAACTAATCGCCATTAAAATTGTAAAATTAATAAAAGAAAAATTAGAAAAAAAAAAAAGAAATAAATAAAAATGAGAAAAAAAAAAAGATGTGGCGTGAATGCTATTATAATACAAAATGGAATTCAACTTTGGAGGATTGGTCGATCGACACACAACAAAGAATCGAGCAAATTGCTAAAACATGAAATGCTACGAGCTGTGTGGGTGACGATTACTTATTTTAAGGTAAGATTATCCAACTTTTTACAGGTTTTTGATTAAATTGCGATTTTTTTTTTTTTTTTTTTTTTTGAAATCGGTTTTTGGAATCCAAGTTTAAAAATTAAATTTTAAACTTGATTCAAATATATATGCACAGACAGTCTAGGCTGTATAATTTCGTTTTTATTTTTTTTTTTTTTTTTTTTTTTTAAACAATTTGCTTTTACATTATGTATGACTAACCTTTCGGCTGTGCATTACTCACTAATGACACATAATTAACTATAGAAGATGATCTTTTTTAATAAAATAAATTAGGTGTTAATGTTAATGAATGCAAAGCAAAGTGTAGCCACTAAATCATACCCGATTCTTAATTATTCTTACACGTTTTTTTCTGGAATTTTCAAAGCAATCATGCATCGAAGTGAGTTGCATTCCGCCCTATGATTATTATTCAATTCCGATTATTGAATACTTTCACAGATATATATTTTCGGTGTCGAAAGCCGTGTAGTAGTTAATCAGCGTACATCAAAAATAGTAGGAAATTCTGCTCATACACTTTGGCGAGTTCACGGCACTTTTGTGAAATGTTTCTTTACAATTCCAACTGCTCATTAGTGCTCAAACTAAGAGGATAATTTGTAGAAAGTTGTCCATTCATTAGTTCGAAGAATGGCTTGCTAAAAGGCCAAACCATTCGATTAGAAGTCTATATTCTTCATCACTTTTCACTTCGTTTGCAAGCTGAGCGTTACTCTAAAAATATGTAAAGCATCTATAGATAAAGAATATATGTTTGATGGCCGCGAGAAACGACTCACATATTTTAGCTTTCAAAAAATCAGTCATTCGTTCAGACTTTGTGCTTTACAAAATTGCTCTCGAATGTATTTTAAATGTAATATTTACCTTTCTGCCGCTCAGTACTTGTCAAAGCAGCTTTGTCTCCAAAAAACGGATATTCAAATATTCATTTTTTACTGCCTTCCTGGCGTTGGCTCTTACTGCGGATATGAATCCGGTTCCGGCTCAACTGATTCGTGGTCGTTGGTGATGTACACTCTCTGTAAGCTTTTTCCTTGTTTCGCCCATTTCTTCTCTCCACATTTCAATTCAATCAACAAAAAAGCTGAGATGGACAAAGCAAGTGGAAGACGTTCACTGAATCAGTTTGCAAACGAACTCACAATAAAGGCAAACGAGATTGAAAAAATTCCATAAAAAATTAGCTTACAAGAGACGAAGGGTTTCACTAAATCAATACATAAAAAAGATCATAGCAGACGAAGAAACTAAAAGGCCTTCTATAAACCTATAAACAACCTCATCATGCACATAGAAGCTGGGAAAAGTTGATAAAAATAAAAGCAAAATAGACGAAAGAACTGAAAAGAGTTCACTAAATCAGTCACGAAATGACTTATAGGCAAACAAGACGAAGAAAACTTATTTCAATAAGCTTAAAATATATCTGGATCAGAAATTTACAACAGATATAAATTTAAGATTTGAACATATTTGAAGCAATCAAATCTTAAACGTCTGTCTAAGCGATCTAATGATCGTCTTAGTAATATTCCTGCACACTTCTGTTTCTACTCAATCATCTACGGCAAGCAACTCATCCATTTGTCTACTCTGAAAGTCTTGAAATAGAAAACTGAAGGTTGATCTATATAATCGTGATTCCACTCAGTTAAAGTTTAAATACGGAATGATTCATTTGTAGCCTCTGCGTGGCTTCATCTATTTAGGAAAATTTCAAAGCATTTAAAAAGAAAGGATTAGAAGAACTCATTCATACCACAGGCTCTTACGTTTATTGATTGCGTTCGCTTTCACGGTAATCGAAAAGAACCAAATAATTCCCCGCAATTCTTAATTGATTTTTGTTCGGGATTTGGACTAAAGTTTTTTCACCAACTAAATAATTAAAAAGCAATTTTGAATAAACACCAATCACTGCTGATATGGATGACAACAATTTCGAAATTTTGATGTTTCCTTAGCCTCTTTATAAATTTGAAAAAGTTTAAGGAGCCGACCACATGCCTTTTACAAACTCATGATGACTTCATATGAATTATGTTTCAGCTTTCGTTTCCCGAGTGTGGGATTTTCAAACCCCGAGAACATATAATACCGGGATTTTGGTATAGAAAATACACGGAATGTGGAATTTTGATATGAAAAAGATAAAAAAATGTTTTATTTAATCTATGGCCATCGTGTTTGATAATTTTGTGAAAGACAAGCGAAAAGAAACTGTTGCTCTCGCGAGGCATTTCCGTGAGAAGTGAAACGCTGCTCAATAAGTACGTGTTCCATCGATGACAGTAAATGATAACCGGAGTAAGTCTTTCTAGTGGAGTGCTTCCAACGGCCAGCACTTTCCAGTTGAATGCTTCCAATGTATCGCGAACCGGTTTTGCTGTACGGATCGGTGGATGCATGTCATGCACCTTCTGCTGCACTTTTCGATATTTCGCTCTCGCCTGGACAGCAAACGGTTCATATCTAACATTTACGGCCATCTACGGACAAATTCGGGTTTCATATTTACATACCGAACAAATGGACGTAGGAATGGAGAGCCATTTATTACGAAATCGATTTGGAATATTAAGTTAAATATTTTTCAAAAAACTTTTTAACAAACATTTGGGAGTGTTATAAGCAAAATGGCACGACTGTTATAGCTCTCGCTTTCAATGGTGTACGTATAAGAATTACAAAGAATGCCACAAAGTTATTGCATTTTGATTCAATACCTTTCTGACAGATTTGCATCATTTTTGTTTTTTTTTTTTTGTTGTTGTTCTTGTTTTTTTTTTTAATATTATTTTTAAACAAATGATTTCCATTAAGGTGACATTAATTGAATTGTTAAGTATTCTCGATAGATCAGATCATGATGATAATGCATTACATACATTAAGCCAGCCAGCGTACCAGACAATTGAATAATGTTATTATGCTAAACAGATAAGCGAAGATTTAAGAATGAAGAGGAGACTTCTTTTTTTCTTCTTTACAATCTCCATTAATAAATGAATAAATAAATGCAGAAAAATTTGTAGTTGAAATGCAAAACATATTGCAGCGACTTAACTAATTATAGCTTTAAGAATTCTAGCAAATAAATATTTGCCTGACTTTTGCAATCTATTTATTAACACTTATTAAATAAATCTTGCACGTATTTTCAACATTAGATTATTATGATGACACCCGTCAACATTAAATTAAATGATCGACAATCGCTTCTGTACAGCGCCCCGTGCTATCAAGTATAACGTAATACTCGGTAAAATGAGCAATGAAAAAAAATGAAAAAATTTCGTGAAAAATTTCAATTTCAACATTAATTTGTAAGATTTTATACGATTACCATTTGACACACATACCCACAGTTAGCTGTTGGCTCATTGTGTGCGTGCGTTTGTATGTGTTTGTGTCAAATACATTAAGCATCGCCATCGGCAACGATACCACCAACAAGCAGGCCTGTTTGTAGAACTTGTTCACGCATCAAATGGTCAATATTTTGCAAATTTCGGTCTTGTTGATGTTTTCATAAACCCTGACATTTGAAATTTTTTAACTCCTTCGCCTTCTTTTTTTTTTTTTTTTTTCTTTTTAGGTTACGATCTGCATTTAATTTTTCCTTTCAAATTTTATTATATTAATTTCTTTGCGATTTTTATTTATTAAAATAAAGAAAAAATTATGCACAAATTAATTTTTGCTCTTTTACTGGTTTATATAAAATAAACTTCGTTGTTGCCATTGGCACATGCTTAGCATACTAAACGATAACAAAATCATATCTATTTAGAAATACCAGAAGTTTGTATAAAAGCTGATGATTTTTTGACCATTAGCAACATATTAGCATCTGTAGCGTATCAGAAGACACATCAAAAAGTCAAATTTTATATAAAATATATATATTTTAAATAAATAAATCTCTTTATATTACGCGATCCAAAATGTCGTTCAGATATGTAAGTTCGATATTCTTACGTAATTGTGTTTTATTTAGATTTATTGAAATCGTGCAAAAGTCATCGCATCGCATAAGATGTGCAGAAAAAAAGACTTGAGAAGTGCTTGTGAATAAGATGTAAGAGTATAGCAGTGTAGTGTTTTTGGTGTAAGCGAATTTGATCGTAGCTTTCAAGAAAAATATTTCGGAATATGTTTGGTTGTTGCTTCCAGTTGTAGATAAAAAAAAACATTTCGTTTCACACACTTACCGTCAATTCTACATTTTAATAATTCAGTTAGTGTAAAGCTGGCGTCCAACTCTATCATGAGATTTTTTTATAACCGATAGTTTATATAGATTACATGTAATCTAAGCATAGTCAAGTGTTCTTGCACCCTTCATAACTAAATGACGTTTGCAACACGTTTACAACGCATACAAGTAGGCATCACTGATCTCGTACGATATATTCGCTTAACCAGGGGTCCTTGGTTTACCCATGTCCGCCTATCTGCCGGCTTAAATGCTCAAAACTCCGCGTAGAACAACTAATTTGATTTGCCCTAAGCTACCACGCAGCTACAAGGCCATATTAGGTTTGTGCGGACATACGGACAACCCAGCAGAACTTGAGATAGACTCAGCTCTTCTTCTTATGCCAATCGATTTAGAATTATCGTCAGAATAACTTACTAAATCGATTTAAGCTTACATGCCCTTCTGTCCGACAAGTCGCAATTTTTGAATTATTTTAATGAAATTTGGTTCACCAACATTTTTGGACAAATGACGAACGCTTTCGAAAATGGTCCGCATCGCGTTACTTTTCGACCACTTCCGTATAAAACGTTAATTTGAAAAGTAGTTACGTGAACAGATGTAAGTGGTGCAAGGTGTTTAAAGGTGGACAATATGCCACTATAGTGTTTTTAATTGTTTTCCTTACCATTACCAAAAAGCACGAAAATTAGGTCAATCAGTTCATAAATTCGAAAAAATGCAGAAAACTACCTAATAATTTCCCCGTTCTCGTAAAATATAACTTCAAAATTGTAGAACTTTTCATTAAATAAGACCCCAGTTTCAATATCGGAATGCAGGAAAACCGCACCCATATTTTCCAAAAAAAAAAAAAAAAACTTATATACAGCGGATTATGAAAACGCAATATTCTTAGTAATAAGCGGTGCACAATAACACTTTGGTACTTATTATGTTCGCTCATACGAGCTTTTGTTTTATACTTACCCAGCATATCATCTAGATATACGTAGGTATTTATGTAGTTCGCGTCATTAGGTATAAAAAGTGTAAAGTGTATTAAGGCCTAAATTCAAGTGTAGGCGATTCTTATAAGATAATAAGATCCGAGCGCTCTTAGTCTTTGAATTTATTTCTCTAAAATTAATTATAATAATAATGACATTTGATATAAGGCGCGATATAGAAAAAACCCGTAGACTTACAATATGACATAGAATACAGGGAAAAATATAGAATGCGATTTGACATTTGAATTAGGGTTCATTAAGGGATAACGTATAGCGTGCATAAGATATGAGAAAGATGTAAAGTGCAACATAGAAGAAGACATGCGATATCGTATGAGATATGTACGATAAATGATATGATATAGAATCTGACGATGGGTACATGACATAGGATAGAATAGAGAACATGATGTAGAATAGCATTCAGGATACGATATGGGATATGATATGGGATAGAATATATACTATGCGATATACGATACTACATACGATTAGGATATGTTTTAAGAAGTGTGCGATAAATAATACATTCGACCCAATGGATAGGCGCTCTATTTTTCAATTAAAGACACCTTAATGGTATTCACTTTAGATTCAGAAATTCATATAGATTTTAATATGACTACAATGGACAAGCAAAAGGACTGGACTGGTAAATATTTGGTAGCTTTTGAGTATTAAAAAATTTTCTTACGCGCACTGTAATCTTTCAACCAAAGGCCTTGAGTGACAAAATGAGGGAATGATAAGTACTTCCAGCGAAGAATCAATGTAAAACGGTGTATCTAACATAGTGCAGCATATCCAAAACGCAACAGAAATTAGCGCTGCGAAAGGACACCCAATGTAAAATCGAAAAATTATTTGGTCAACTGAAGGATCAATGTCTTCTCAAGTCTTTTCGACTTTCGCGAATTACTTACAAGCTTAACGGTGGATAAAATTGGATTTCGATATCAATAAAAACCAATACATTGAATACACATTACAAGTCGACCCATTCGTCTTCAAGCACAACTCGCAAATATCAGGATCTTATTTGATTTGTTGATAGAACAAAAGTGCAAATACGGTTAACAAAGTCGATCTTTTGTCTTCAATTTCTTAAGATGGCCAGAATGATTTTAGTATCGTAATCGCGCCTTTCAGATCATAATTGAACCTACCGCAGCACGATTTGTGCTCAGTTGAGCTCAGTTCAGTTCAGTTTCTCTTTCTTAGAAAAAAGTCTTTCGATATGAAAATAACTTGACATAAACGTAGTCTTAGTAACCTTGATGTGACTGAAAGCCAGGTATTTTCTTATGATTTCCTTCTTTTTTTTTTTTAGTTAATTCTCTTGACACTTGCAACTGCCATTGTCCACGCTGCCCCAGCAAAGGAACAGGAAGAAGAATTCGAAGTTGTACCAATTGTCAGATCCGAAGTGAATAAAAACGAAGATGGCAGCTATCATTTATCTTATGAAACTGGTGACGGTACGTCGCGTGATGAGAAAGCCACCCTAGTTGATGTCGGTACCGAAGATGAAGCTCTTGAAGTGAAGGGTTCCTATAAATATATAAACGATAAAGGTGAAGAAGTTGAAGTGTTTTATACAGCCGGTGTTAACGGTTTTGTACCGTATGGAGAATCAATTAATGCTGAAATAAGCGCTGTAGCCGAAGCTGCCAAAGATTTACCTAGAGACGAGCCAGAGAAGGATAGGAAACATTAAGTAATGTTAGGAATTAAACTTTTTTGAATTATGTTAAAAATCAAAAAAAAAAAAAAACGAAAACAACTAGAATTAAATTATAAATAATAATTTTATATGTGTATATAAATTATCTTATAAAAATATATAGACCGGCGTGTAAATAGATGAAAGCCAGGAAGAATTGAATAAAAAAAGAAATCTTAAAAAATCGTATACAAAAAAATCCTCTGTCTTCCAATAATTGAAAGAATTTCAAGATGTTTTTTTTCTTTCCTCTATGATATGTTTTTAATTACAGAGTTTGGCGAGTAAGTTAAATGATTTATTACTTGATAAATTGCTATAATAATAATAAAAAGTGGTAGCAAAAAGAACGGAATTTCCTGTAATAAGATTCTAAAGGTAGTAGATATCACGTCATATATTATTGCCTTCGACAAACTCACGAATTAATTTTGACGTTTTAATTTATCGCTAATGGAGTTGTTTTTTAAATCGACAGCGCCAAAAAAATATTTAAATGAATTCAATTTATGGCAGTTCCGCTCGTCTGGCAATCACTAAATTGCCGTAAAACGTTTAGTCCGAAAAAAGAAAAAACCAGATTCATTTAATACTGGTTTTCAAAATATTTATATAAACACGATTATATATATATATATATATATATATATATATATTTATTAATGGTTTTTTAATTTCAATTTTTTTTCTTTCGTTTTCTTTTTTATTTTTAAGCTTACAAAATAAAGTTTTGAAACTAATTGATTGCCTCGAGCCTTGGCATGTACATGGACCTTAAAGAGACGCTACTTGTTGCTTAGAATTTTTAATAAGAAAACAAAAACGCTTCGCATGATATCAGGACCACTTTTTCACCCAATTACAAATCGAATCATGATTTCTACAAGGCTCTACTAGGATCATAGGACGGCATATAGATGTCACCACAACTTTTTTAAAGAAATGCGTCGAACTTTATTGACATTAGTTTAGTCCTTTTAGTGACGTTACTTTTTTCGGCCGCCTTGATCTGTTTTGCCGACTTTACTCTGAAGCGTAGTGATAAATCCGTTTTTTATATACGTTGTCATATGTCTTAGCGCTACACTTAACAAAGCAAAGAAACCCAAAAGCTGTAGTATTTTTAACCGCGGAACACAAGATAAATCCAAATGTCAGCGAACTGCAAACGTTTGTTGTCCTAAGAAAATGTAAACATCAAAAGTTAGCATCATATAAGTTCATTATCCTCAATGGTTAATAGGTTATCTAACGCATTTGTTGGGTAAGCAAAAATTCGAGAATAAACTAAAGCCCATAGCCTTCGATTTTTAAGATTTCTTCTATCATGTACCGAATTGCGACCTATGTTGAGAATTGAGATGGATTCGCAATGATTCGCTAGACAAGCAGATCATTTTCGATTTTTGTTCCCACAAAAAATGTATTTCTTTTCTAAATAAAGAGAAACACTATGCCAAACCTACCAGCAAAATATCGTTTAACCTTTAAAGATAACGGCTACTTTTTCCCTCTCTAAAACAAAATACTTTAGGTCATGATTACTGTAGTGCAAAAATATTGGAATTTTAAAAGTTCGCCGTCTAAAACTTTCCTAACTTATAACAAAGTTGCATTTCTCGAGTGTTACTTTAAATTCTCCTAGTCTAGTCCAAGGTCAAGGGAAGGAGACATTAAGTTGCAGTATGGTGACCCTGACTCTCCCGTTGTCTCATCTTTGTTTATATAACTTTTTTTCTTCTTTCCTTTATTAATTTTGTTTTTATTTTTATTTTATAGTTACTTTACGTACTTTTAAACAAATATTATAACAATTAAACTAGATATGCATACCATAATATCGTGCAAGAGTAGAAAATTTATTTTTAAATAAAGCTACGACAACAATTAAATTACATATGTATATCATAATTTCGTACAAGAAATTAAAGAGACATGCATTTTTATTATTAAAATATATTTAAAGCAACGAAATAATTTCTAGAACTTGTAATGTGAACACATGGGCGGAGGTTTTCACTTCAGTGTACCTTAGCCAGGCTAGCTCAGGCCACGTACTACTACACTTGCACTAATTAATAAGACGTTGTTGTATCTCATGTTCGTCTGCTATTTAGTCTTTCCGTTTTCTCTTCCATTTCTACCCATTTAGTCTATTATTCCATCAGTCTGTTTGTGTATTAGCCCGTCCGTTATGTTGCCGTCATGTCACTTATTGCGCTTCTTTTCCCCCTACTTCACATTACACATCTTACACCAAAACGTAGGACTAGGGAAAATGTAGAATCTGATTTTGTTCTGAATTGATTCCAGCGTTCAGTCCATCGAAATATGTTTGCCAATATGTGTAATCTACTGAATATTCTTGCGAAACAATATCAATAATAAGAAAAGAAGCTAGAAATGTATATCATATTCCCGTACAAGAAAAAAATGAAAATGTTAGCTAAATTTTTTCGAAAGCAGAGAATTTTAAAACAATCTTATCGCTTTTAATGACCTACAATAAGCTAAGAGGCAATCTAAGCGAAGCAATCAATCTATTAAACTAAATATGTATAGCATATATTCGTACAAAAACAAATAAAATTGTAGACTACGTTTTTGAAGGCATGAAATTTTGCAAGTATTCCTACGTAATCTGAAATGATATTCCAGCTGGAAGACACCAGCAATGATTAAAACGAATTTCTCCGCAAACTTCTGATTTGCATAGACGTCCTACTGAATTCCATTACTAAAATTTTTTAAAATTTTTTCCGCAATTTCATTTTCAATTCATATTAATTAGATCACCTATAAAATTGATATGGGGTGGACGAATCGTAATTTATAAGGTGTCGTTATTACCTTTGGAAAGTCTTATCAGAGAGATTTGCATAAGCAAATTAAGCTTATCTCAGTAGGAACACCTAAAAAACATGTTCGCCTTCAAAACATTGCCCAAATAGTATGTAAACAATAAATTTATGTATATTCGTATACATATAAATGTGTTTATTAACATTTATCTGAACAAAAACATATTAGACTGGTTCTTGAAATGCTAAAATGCTGTGACATGGAAATTACTTTTCTTTTTTTTTTTTTTTGAATTAACTAACTACTCAGGGGATGTCTCCTATGCGTGCGAGCTCGATGGCAATCAGAATGGGTTATAGATAGAGAGTGATGGAAAGAGAGAACGTCTAACTTAAAAGCGGAACTTTGAGGCACTTTGAGAAAAATCGTTGCTGGTAGAATGTTCCACAGGCCATCCGTGTCATTTTTAATAATGTTTGTGGGCATACCTCCTCTATTTCTATAAAACACTTTCCCTGGATGCACGTACACTTATGCACCGCACAACTCGCATTACGCCGATGTTAAAGTTTTCGACAAGCTCTCGTCAACCTTTTTTGTTTTATTTCATCAGCCAAAACAACCTATAGACTTTGACTACTCTAAAGAGAGAGGCCCTTGCGTATGAAATCAAAATTCTTCCATAAAATTATTTAGCAAATACATATACATAACCTACTTTTTAACATAGATATCAAAGGTGTGTAACGTATTTTCACTGAATGCTTTCTTCAGACGACATGCATGCGTGTTATGTTTGATATCAAATAGATCGAATAACTGCATTCCAAAGTTTTTCGAACAACATCGAATTGTCAAGTAAATAGTTTACTAAACACCACCTTAATATCTAATTCATCAAGATGAGCCTAAGATTGTTCAACTGCTTTTAAAGCTTCAATCTATACTTAGGCAAGTAAATACTCTTCTTCTTCTAATGAAACAACATTTTAAGCAACAATTTTTGTCTTTTTTTTCTCTCTTTGTTACTATAATTTAATAAAAAACAAAAATTCATTTATGGAGTACCTAAGGCACGCATGCGTTATGTGTTTGATTTCAAATAAAATGAGTCATTGTTAACTAAGGCGTTTTGTATATGAATCGTGTACATAAAATTTTGAAAAAAAAAATTCAAAAAAAAAAAAGATGAATTCTTTTAATCTTTCCTTTTTTTACGCAGATGTTGATTTGTATGAACATTGGGTGTTGATATTCATTTCGGTATAAAAGTGTCAACTTATTCGAATTGAACATTAAACTCAGTTAAGCATCGACTGCCAACAAGTTTAGACGAATTACTTATAAAATGTTGAAAATTGTAAGTTTTCTCTAACTAGATGTTACGATATTATTACAAAATGAAAAAAAAAAAAAAAAAATTACAAAATTTAATTAAAAATTTACAAAAATTTATTTTTGTTTAAGATTTGCTTTATGGTCTTTGCCGCATCAACGGCTTATGCTGCCAGTTTCGGTAATGCGTTGCAATCAACGACAGAAAAACATGAAGTCATACCGTTACTGAATTATGAACGTGTCAGTAATCCAGACGGCTCGTTTAGTTTCAGCTATGAAGGTGGCGACAATACGCATCGTGAGGAAACTGCTCACGTTGTAGATGCTGGCACAGATGATGAAGCTCTAGAAGTGTCTGGCTCTTATCGCTATGTCGATGATCAGGGTCAAGTGGTAGAAGTCCACTACACAGCCGGTAAAAATGGTTTTGTACCGATAGGTACAAATATACTTTCGGAAATTTCCGCAGCTGCTAAAGCAGCCGCTGAACGTGCCGAAGTTTTCGAAGCGGACGAACATTACAAACAAAATTATAAAAATTACAAAAACTAAGAACATGATGCCATAGGTCCAGTTGTCTCAGTCGTATTTGTTGTAAACTTGTAACGAGAATACGGTGGTAACTTAATACTCAGGAAATGTCCACAAAGTTATTGTTATAAATTAAGTTGTTTTGAATAAAATCGTACCCATAACTTGATCGCATCCTATTAATCTTAGGGGAAGAAAATTTGCTTTTATAAGGTACGGATTAGTACGTCTTAAGACAAATTGTGACAACACGTGTTCGTTAATTTAAAAAAAAAAGTAGCCATGTACATGCATTCGTTGCCTTGTTCGTGAATATGGTTTACGTTTCATATAAAATCTAAGACTATCTACTTATAAATCTACCTGTAAGTAAATTAATTATTTTTAAGCATTTGCTGCACCGTCACTGTGCGAGCACTGCTTACATTTCAAAAAAGAGCAAAGCGTAAAAATAAAACACAAATGCTTTCCTACCTTAAATAGTGTCAAGCGTTTGTCGCCTCATCACGTTGTTCGTAAATATGGTTTACATTTCATCGCATATGTAAAGTTAAAAGGGCATAAATCTCTCCGTTAAATATTTTCAAGTATTTATCACATTATCATCTTGTTCGTAAATATGGTTTACAAATCATAAGAAATGTGAGATCAACAGGCTAAAAGTTTAATTTCTTTGATTATATTTTCAAGCATTTTGTCGCATTATAATCTATGAAATATGGAGACTGAAAATCTAAATGAAATATTTACAAATATTTACCGCGTCATTGTTAATACGAACTTTGGTCGTAAATAAGGTTTGCAGTTAAGAAGAGTTATGCAGAATTCTTTTTGCATTTACATCTTGATTAATGGTTGGTAGGCGTAAAATAAATAAAAATAAACATAAAAATGAATAAATGACAATTTCAAATTACAGACATTAGCACTTAAACGGCTTTAAAAAATATATGTATAAAATTATTGTTGAAGAGAAAATGCAATAAATTGCTTTTAGTAATAATGACTGCACTTCAGAGGTAAAGCCATTCAAATCAATTACGCCCTTTTATATTTGGGTTGTACTGAAAAGGAAAAGAAATCTATCAAAATAAACGATATTTTCGAACAGGTTGAATAATACAAATAGGTGCGTTGATAACTGGTCAGTGATTTCTATAACTATTCCTTACTCGCTTAAGCCGTCAGATAAGTTTAATAGCATGTCACCGAACATTGAAATGAGACTAAGAAAGTGGTGCTGACTGGGCATTGAAGCAGAGTTATCGTCGAGTTCAGAACATTCACATTTTGCCATCAGGTTATTGACAGTTACCCCTTTATTTTCTCGGTACACTTTTCGTAATACAAAGTCAACAGCAACTTAGAGATTTGCGAAGCAGTGAGCTATAAAATGCTACAAACCGTTAAATTTGCCATTTTCAACGCCCAGTGATGTTTTATTAAATGAAAATAGTGAAAAAAAAATACAAAGTTGATTGACATTTCCATGATAACTTGAGGGCTTTAATTAGCTGTATATTAAGGAAAAACTATTCCCTAGTTTCAATCAAAGCAAGTCTTCCGAGCGTGGCACAAAAGCGTCACCATAAGCGAATCTTAAGCAACCATTTAAACTCCTTAGGCATATGCACCTGCTTTCGTTGGAATCAAGAGACGCTAAAGTGTGTATGGAATACCTCTTGTTACTTTCATTTTTTTTGTTTTCCATTGCAATTCGATTTAGTGTCTTTGCTGCGATGTTGTCGTTAAGACAAGTGATCGACCGCGTCTTTGAAAGCTTTACTAATTATTTACTTTATAGTTAAACTCGCGATTATTGGATTTTCTTTTCATAATCTTACAAAGCATGACTCAACATTCTTTTCAATAAATAAAGAATAACTAAAAACACTTGAAAATATCTTTAATTTAACACTTAACACTTCAAAATATTTTTATTTTAATTTTATTATTTTAACGGTTCCGTCGCCCTTTTACTTATTGAACTAAAAACCCTACGGCTTGTATTTGCTTTAATGGATATGCAAAATATTTTTAATCTGCTATAAAACGTTGTCGAAGGTTAAAGATGTTAAAAACATGCCCGAAGCATTTCAAACTATTTAAGATGTAAAAAACAACTGTCAAGAATTTTTCGCATTCCATGTCTAGTTAAACACGATGGCATCCGTAGGCGTACTTTTACGATAAATCGAATCAATTCAATATTTCCTACAAGTGATTTCAGCAAGTTGACGGTCGCATTATGCCATGTAGTTGAGGAACGACGAATCGACAACCAGTTCAGTTACGTAACTCATATATTCTTTCTTTGCTGCCCAGAAACGCTCATTTTCAATATGATCTGCTAAAGGTGCCAGCTTGAGACGCTACGAAAAAGATTTAATTACTCTATTGACCAACTGACCAAAATATATATCATTAAGTATATCCTACACTAGTTATGTTAAGCTTGTGCAGATGTGTGCAATACCAAGAGGAAATTGAAATGGACCCACTTCTTATTATACCTGCCGACTTGGAATCTTTTTCTGCATCGATCTTAGAATTTCTGTCTGTGTGTCTGTGCTGCCCGCCTGCGTTTTTATGTTTTAATGAAACGTGTTACACCGACATGTTGTGGCCCAAGGACAAACGCTATCGAAAATGTTTCGGAATGGGACCACTTTTTCGACCCCTTCCCATAAAAAGCCTTATTTTTCAATATCGTTATATGAATAATTGTAAGGTGATGTAGGATGTTTAACGGTGAACCGTGGTCCACGATACTGTTCTTACTGGGTATGGGATGTAGAGTGTATTGCGAAAGTGTTTCTTACCTATTCAAGATGCTATGACTATTTAGTGTAGTTTTTAAACTTAATACACATTTATATGCATATCAGGCGATGATGATCACGATGATATTCTGACATCTCGGTTAATGTAGAAGCTCCGCTTACTGAATATTTGGTTAATTTATAAGCGAAAAATGAACAAAAGCTGTTGAAGAACACCGTCGACCAACAACAACAACAA